CTGAGGCAGGAGAATCAGAGAATTGCTTGAACCTGGGAGGCAGAGGTTGCAGTGAGCAGAGAGATCATGCCACTCCACTCCAGCCTGGGTAACAAAGCCAGACTCTGTCTTAAACAAAAGGAAACAAAACAAAAATGATGTAGCGACTTTAAATAACGCATTTGTTAGCTCCCAATTCAGTAGGTCAGAAGCCTGAGTGGGCTCCACTGGCTCTCTCCTCCGGGTTTCACAAGGCTGCACTGGCTCTCTCCTCTGGGTTTCACAAGGCTGAAAACAAGGTGCAGCCCCTGGGCTCTTGTTGGGAGGCACAAGGGAGAATTCACTTCCAAGCCCACTCCTATTGCTGACAGAATGCAGTTCTTTGCAGCTCAAGAACTGAGGTTCCCATTTCTTTGCTGGCTGTGTACTGAGGTCCACCCATCGCTCCTAGAGGTCTCTCTTGGGCCCTTCCATGGGGCGCCTACATTTCAGAGCTAGCAAGAGTGCATCAAATCCTTACACTTGGGGTCTGACTTCCCCCTCTGCTACATCTTTTATTCTAGCTGGGGAAAGTGCTCTGCTTTTGTAATTAGATCGAGCTAACTCCCAATACTCCAGGAAAGTCTATGACCTGTGACTATGGACTTTGCCATGTAAGGTAACATAGTTACACATTCCAGGGATTAGGGTGTTTTTCTGTTGGGGCCCGTTCTTCAACCTGTTACAGATAGTTAGACAGGCATGAGAAGGGCAGGAGAGGGCTCTCTCCTGACCCACCAGGAATGTCAGGAGATCATCAGGTCCTGGTTCAACAATGATCACACTGCCTGTCTCAAAATGATAACTCAGCAGCTGGCGCCAGGGACAGACAATCTCCTGATGGTCCGCAGCTGTTACATTAGAGTGTTAATTGAATGCAGGTGCCAGGGAGACGCAGACAGGGCTTCCAATAAAATATCAAGTATTGGCCGGGCGCGGTGGCTCAAGCCTGTAATCCCAGCACTTTGGGAGGCCGAGATGGGCGGATCACGAGGTCAGGAGATCGAGACCATCCTGGCTAACACATTGAAACCCCGTCTCTACTAAAAAAAAATACAAAAAACTAGCCGGGCGATGTGGCGGGCGCCTGTAGTCCCAGCTACTCGGGAGGCTGAGGCGTAAACCCGGGAGGCGGAGCTTGCGGTGAGCTGAGATCCGGCCACTGCACTCCAGCCCAGGCGACAGAGCCAGACTCCATCTCAAAAAAAAAAAAAAAAAAAAAAAAAATCAGGTATTGGGCAAGTGAGCCTCAGCATGTGCATTAAGAGACAGAATGGTGGAGTATGACCTCCCGGCGGCTCTCCGCCAGGAAAGGGAAGAAGGCCTCAGATGGGCGTGCATACAGCTTCCTAAACATACTGCACACGCTCACTTCCTCAGTGTGAAGAAAGCACTACACACGTGGGCTGCCCACCCTAAGGGAAGAATCATGGGGAAGGGGTGCAAGACGCCAGAGGTGGGCCAGCATAGAAAGTCCTAGAATCACAGTTAAACAGGGCACTTGACCGGTTATACACCCATATATAGTATATACATATTATACATACAGTATACATACTCTATGTATATGCTGGGCATGGTGGCATGTGCCTATAGGCTACTCAGGAGGCTGAGGCAGGAGGATTGCTTGATCTCAGGAGGTCAGGGCTGAAGTGAGCTGTGATTGTGCCACTGAACTCCTGCCTGGGCAACAGAGACCCTGTCTAAAAAATACATACATATATACACACACACACGTGCACTATACATATATAGTATACACATACTTCACACACATATAGTATATACATACTACACACACATATAATATATACATACTATATATAGTATATATCATGCATAGTATATACATGGTCTATATACACTATGTATAGCATATACTATGTAAATATATATATTTACATGGTATATATACATACTATGTATAGTATATACTATGTAAATACTATATATAGTATATATACATACACATATATAAGTATACATTACTATATACATATAAACATATATGCATGCATCTATACATCTATACATATATGTATGTATACACATAGTAAAAATGCATATATATACACATATACATATATAGTATAGACATATGTGCATATATACATACATACATACTATATACATATGTGTATATATACTATATATACTCTATACTATGTAGTATATACATAGTATATTGCATATGCTATATGTGTGGATATATAGCATGTATATACTATATATGTGTGTATATAGTTTGTATATACTATATGTGTGTATATAGTTTGTATATACTATATATTTATAGTGCGTGTGTGTGTGTGTGTATATATATATATATATGCATTTTTTTAGACAGGGTCTCACTCTGTTGCCTGGGCTGGAGTGCACAATCACAGCTCACTTCAGCCTTGACCTCTTGGGCTCAAGCAATCCTCCTCCCTCAGCCTCCTGGGTCGCCTACTGGCACATGCCACTATGCCCAGATAATTTTTAAAAACTTTTTGCAGAGACAGGGTTTTGCTATGTTGCCCAGGCTCCAGTCAGATTTTCTCAGGAATGTAACATAGCCCTTTGTTTCTCTTTTCTTCTCTTTCTTTCTTCCTTCTTCTTTCTTTCTTCCTTATTTCCTTTCTTCTTTCTTTCTTTTCCTTCCTTCCTCTCTCTCTCTTTCTTTCTTTTTTCTTTCTTTTTCTCCTTCCTTCCTTTCCTTTTTCTTTCTTCCTTTCCTTTTTTCTTCTTCCTCTTCCTCTTTCACTTTTTCTTCTTTCTTTAAGTTTTTTAAACATTTATTTATGTATTTATTAGAAACAGGGTCTTGCTCTGTGGACTCGGCTAGAGAGCAGTGGCAAGATCACAGCTTACTGCAGCCTCCAACGCCTGGGCTCAAGCAATCCTCCCACCTCAGCCTCCATGTAGATTTCATTCAGCGTTAGTGTTTGGCTGTTATAATGGTGTTTTGAACCCACTGTTGTGACCTGACTGATGTTTTGACCTCCAAGACACCTTGACTGCATATGTATGTATGTACATAATATGAACAAAAATGATAAATTACATATTATTCACAATTTCATTTTTTTCTCTGGCAGGATAAGGAAAGTTTTGAAGTTGGGCATGGTGGGCTCATGCCTGTGGTCCCTGAGCTTTTGGAGGCTGAAGTGGGAGGATTGCTTGAGCCTAGGAGTTCAAGGCTGCAATGAGCTATGACTGTGCCACTGCACTCCAGTCTGGGAGACAGAATAAGATCCTGTCTCAAACAAACAAACAAACAAACAAACAAACAAACAAACAAACAGTTTTGGTTGCCAATTCAACAGCATCCAGCTGCTGCCAATATTATTATACATTTTAGAAAAATCCACTGGGGGAGAGGGAGAAACGAGGGAGGGGCCAGTATGTACCAGAGAGGGAGAATGAAAATGGTGGTGGCTGAGGCAAAGAGGCTGAAAGAAAAGTGCTTGCCCGTTGCAGGGTCCAGGAGGCATTCTGGTGGGGAAGTTCAGGGTATGGAGAGAAAAACCGTATCTTTTTTTTTTTGGAGAGGGAGTCTCACTCTACTGCCCTGGCTGGAGTGCAGTGGTGCAATCTTGGCTCACTGCAAGCTCCACCTCCCGGGTTCAAGCAATTATCATGCATCAGCCTCCTGAGTAGCTGGGATTACAGGTGCATGCCACCACACCCACCTGGACAACTGGCCGTCAAGACCTTCCATCGGGTAACAGAACCACATCACACCTAGAACCAAGTCCAAAACGTCCTGTTTTTTACTGTGTAGCCTGTTGCTCTCAAGCAGATTTCTTAGCGATGCCTTCTGGTCAGATCAAAGCCATCTCCTCCAGGAGGCAGTAAAGACTTTAACCTTGTTTAAAAAGAAGTCTGGCCTTGCCTTCTCCTGGAAGGCAATCTTTGTTTGCCTGAGAGTCTTCGCCTAGCCAGAGAGTAACAGTGTGATTTATGGTGGGGGCTTAGGGTTACATGGATATCACTTAACCAAGAAGCTGAGATCAACCATGAGAGCAATCAAACCATCCATCAATCACTCACGTGCAATAGAGCCCAGTAAAAGTTCTGCAAATGACTGGCAGTACTTTGTGTGTATGACCACACATCAGTGTAGGGCGAGTAATGAGGCCTGACTACACAGGGAGAGGACCACGGGAGGACCTCGAAGCTCCACGCTGTAATTCCCAGACTTCCCCATCTGCCCTTCTTCCTTGGCTGATGTTAATCTGTACAATTTCCCTGCTAAGAAACCATAGTTGTGAGTACAGTAGTTTTTAGTGAATTCTGTGATTCCTTCTAGCAAATTATGGAACTTGAAGGTGGTTTTGGAAACCGCTAGAACTTGCCGTTGGTGTCGGAGGTGATGGTGGTCTTGGGGACTGTTCCGCCAACCTGTGTAGTTCACCTAAGCTCCTGCACCTTCGTGACGACCTCTCTGCCGGTTCTTCTCGGTGTCCATGCCCTTATTTTCTTTTCCCATTTATCATTTATTTGTCTATGTCTGTATTGCCTGTTTCTCCTGCGAGAACTGCATTCCTGGGCTGGGCCTGCGGGCGCTCTTCCCGTTGCCGCCCCCTACCATGTTATGCTCCTTAAGCATCACGTGTGGTCTCCTCTCCTTCATTCACACCCGAGGCTGGGCGTGGACACTTAAAGAGAAGGTTCGGCATATGTATTACCCAAAGCTGCACCCCGCACATTCCGGGAGCTTTGCTCTTCGTCACTATTCGTTGAATGCTCTACATTGTAATAAATAAAATAACGAGTGTGAAAGCATAAAAGCAGATCAAGAAGAGACAAACAGCACTTATAGCGGACTGGCCAGCCTGGGGCTCGGCCGGGCCCCGCCCCTCCCCCCGAGGCCCCTCCCCTCCCCGCCCAGGCCCCTCCCCTCCCCGCCTAGGCCCCGCCCTCCAGGCCCCGCCCCTCCGGGCTCCCGCAGGAAAGCGCCGCCACCGTGTGGGTGGGTGCGGGGCGCGGCGCGGGCCGGGCATGCGCAGAGCGCGCGGGGCGCGGTTGCCGTGGCAGCGCCGGCTCCAGGGAGGGCGGGCGCGGGGCCGGGATCGCTGAGCCTGAGGTGGCGACCGGAGAGCCCGCGGCCCGGCTGGAGGCAGCTCGGGACAGGCTTGAGCGGCGGGGCGCGCTGCCCGGCCGGCGGGGATGCGGGACCGGCTGCCAGACCTGACCGCGGTGAGCGGCAGCCGCGGGTAGCGGTTCAGGCCCGGCCGGGGCGGGGTCTGGAGGGCGGGCGGGGGCTCGGGGCGTCTTGGGCGGGGCTCCGGGTGGGTCGCCAGGGCGAGGATCTCGGGCGTTCTGGGGCGGGGGCTGCGGGCAGAGTCTCAGGGAGTCCTGAGCCGGGGTTCCTAGTGGGGCCCCCAGGGCGGGGGTCCCGGTAGTCCTAGGGTGGGGGCTCCGGGCGGGGTCCCCAGGGCGGGGGTCTCGGGGAGTTTTAGGGTGGGGGCTTCGGGCGGGGTCCCCAGGGCGGGGGTCTCGGGGAGTCCTAGGGTGAGGGCTCCGGGCGGGGTCCCCAGGGCGTGGTCTTGGGGCGGGCGGGCTGGGGGCTCGGAGGGGGCGGGGGCCTCGGGGAGTCCTGGGCAGGCGCCCCGGGTGGGGTCCCGAGGGCTGGGGTCTTGGGGAGTCCTAGGGTGGCAGCTCCGGGCCGGGTCCCCAGGGCGGGGTCTTGGGGCTTCCTGGGCGGAGTCCTCAGGGCGGGTTGGGGCAGGAGGAGGGAGCCGAGAAGGTCCCGGCCTCGACCCTCTCTCCAAGCGGGACTCCCTGTCCGTCACTCCGCCTGGCGGATTCTCTCTGGCTTAACCGTGGTCGACCCCGCGGTGTCCCCGCAGCGGGCTTCAGCCCCAGGGAGCAGGCCGAGTCCCTTTGGTCGCTGCTCTATTCCTGGGGCTTCACACAGGACCCTGCACCAAGCAGGAGGCAACAGATGGGTGTGACATGTAGGCGCCTTAGAGTGCTGGGTGCTTGCGGCGGGGTGAGCAGGAACAACAGAACAGCAGCTCGTGTCTGATCTCCCCAATAGTTTGCTTTGGGAACTGGGACTGTGTGTGTTGACTCTGAACACACCTAACGCGCCAACAGCCGAGCACACAGCAAATTATTTACTTTAGCAAGGGAAAAGCAGGTCACTAAAAATTTTGGAAGGATTTTGATGCATTCTACACATGTAAAGGTAACAGAACTGTGCATGGTGCAGTGACAGCGAAATGATAGCGATGGTCGTGCACTTTCCAAGCTTATCTAACCCAGGACAGCTTAGGCCAACAGAAGTAATTATGACTTTTTCCCTTTACAGTACAGGTACTAACTCATGCTGCGTGTGCACAGACACAGCCCCTGGTCTCTAAATTATTGGCGGCCTCAGAACAGGGTTGCTAAGGCCACAGCCCTCCGGCACCCATTGCATGTAATGAATTATTCTCTCTCCTCTTCTGCTAGAATGGAGCTGTTATGTACCCCCGAATGGGAGAATAGAGAAAAGAGCCACTTAAATAATTATCTGTGTTCTGTGGTTCAGATGAGGAGCTCTGGTTGAGAAAGGCAATGATTTCATCCTTAGGATCATAGAAATTATGCTTTATATTCTTTCCAAGGAAGCTTCTTCACAGTGATTTTTCCTTTTTTATTAATGGACAAATATTCCCTGTGGTCCACAGATCAATACCATCTTAAACACAGCAAATTATAGTTGCGTTGTCTTGCCCGGTAGATTATCTTTCAGTGCCGTGTAGTAGGAGCTTAGATATTTATTTAATGAAGAAAAGCCGTGGCTCATGCCTGTAATCCCAGCAGTCTGGGAGATTAGGGTGGGAGGATCACTTGAGCCCAGGTATTGGAGATCAGCTTGGGCAACATAGGGAGACTCTGTTTCTCAAAAGAAATTAAAAAATTAGCAGGAGGCCAGTCACAGTGTCTCATGCCTGTAATCCCAGCACTTTGGGAGGCTGAGTTGGGTGGATCACTTGAGGTCAGGAGTTTGAGACCAGCCTGGCCAACATGGCAAAACCCTGTTTTGTAAAAATACAAAAATTAGCCGGATGTTGTGGCGCACGCCTGTAGTCCCAGCTACTCTGGAGGCTGCGGCAGGAGAATCGCTTGAACCCAGGAGGCGGAGGTTGCAGAAAGCTGAGATCGGGCCACTGTACTCCAGTCTGGACGACAGAAAGAGACTCTTTCAAAAAAACCAACAAAACAAAACACACACAAAAAACTATCCAGGTGTGGTGACTTGCACCTGTAGTCCCTGGTACTCAGGAGGCTAAGCTAGGAGGATTCCTTGAGTCTAGGAGATAGAGGCTGCCATGGGCCATGATTGTGCCATGCCACTGCACTCTAGCCTGGGTGACAGAGTGAGACACTGTCTCAAAAAAAAAACAAAAAACAAAAAACAAAAAACTTAATGTCACTGAATGTGAGAGCTGTGACTATTTTAGCAAAAGATAGCCAAATTTATATGTTGGGGAATCATGAGAAGGTACCTTTTCTTGGCTTGAATAGCAAAAAGCAAATAAGGCAATTATTTGTCACTCAGTTTCTATATATCCCAACCCTTCCTGAAACAGTAGAACATGTCAATCAGTTTTGTTCTAGAGTGGCGGAGCTAGAAGTCAGCTCGTCTACTTCAATACCATCCTGCTTTAGATACAGCCACTGAGCAGTCAGAGAGGAAAGCTGTGGAAGTTTCCACTTCTGGAGTTTCTCATCTTGGGCAAATAATTTTTAAACCTCTCAAAACTTTTTCTTGTGTGTAAAATGGGGACAGTGGTATCGCTCTTGTCCACCTCATAGAGGGAGTTATGAAGCATAAAATTATCTAATGTGTGAAGCTCTGGGAGAAGGTGGGAGGGAGGAAGTGCTATGTAATTATAAGTGTGATTAATATTTACCAGATTTTTTTTTTAGGAAGTTATAGAAAGCAGCCTTCTGGCCGGGCACCGTGGCTTTCACCTGTAGTCCCAGCACTTTGAGAGGCTGAGGCGGGCGGATCATTTGAGCTCAGGAGTTCCAGACCAGCCTGGGCAACATGGCAAAACCCTGTCTTTACAAAAAACATACAAAAAATTAGCCAGGTGTAGTGGCGCATGCCTGTGGTTCCAGCTACTCAGGAGGCTGAGGTGAGAAGATTGCTTGAGCCCAGGAGGCGGAGGTTGCAGTGAGCCAAGATTTTGCCACTGCCCTCTAGCCTGGGGGACAGACAGATTGAGACCTTGTCTCAAAAACAGAAAAAAGAGCAACCTTCTCCCTAGTATAAAATAGTAAGTTAAAACTGAATTTGAAGTTTAATAACTTTTAATATTTAAAAACCCATCTTAAAGTTACCAGATACAAGTTTAACTTCTCCCCCCCAGGAAATGTGTCCTTTCCAAGTAGTTCGTAGAGTAGTTGAATGTGTATTCACAACCATGCTTCTAAATGGCTGGTGTTTTTTTTTCTAGGTAAAGTTTAATATTTTGTTGATTAAAATGCCTCATCTACAATGTCCACATTAACAAAATATTTGTGATGCTTCCAAAAAGTTTATTTTATTAGCTATTGAAGCTTGTTCCTGAGAAAAATGTACCTCTGATAATTACATGGAAAGGGCTTAAAAATTAATTTGCTCAATATAATTTGTGTTGACAGATTTAGTTTCTAACCAGTGATTCTGTTTTTGAGCAACCAGTCATTTGGGCATAGAAAGTTTACGTGACTTGGTCCAGATCTCCTAGACTCTAAATCCAGGAAGATATTTCTGATTTACAGAAAGTAAAAGACTCGCCCGTCCAACAGGTACTTGAGTGTCAGGCCTCCAGCAGATCATGTGCTGGGTGCAGAGAGACACAGCAGTGAACTGAGGGTGGGTGCGGTTGGTTGCATGCAGCCTGGGGAGGAAGAGTGACCGAGGTGTAATGAAATTCACTGTAGGACGTAAGCAAAACGGAATAGCTATTCTATAACATAACCACCCCAAACGTATTTTGATTACTTTTTTAAAAAAAGTTTATGCACATTGATATCTTTATTATATTTGATATATAGATGATATATGTATTTATTATAGTGAAGAATAGAGAAACCACATATTTCATCTGTGGGAATTGTTTGCATGATAATAAACAGTAAATATACAGTAGCTATGTGGTGTTCTTAGTTGACCTAAAAGAAATGAGAACATTATTTTTCATCCTGGTTTCAAGGTGGTGAATTGCAAATATAATCTCTTTTTTTTTTTCCTTTGAGACAGGATCTCGCTGTGTAGCTCAGGCTGGACTGCAGTGGCACAATCATGACTCATTGCACCCTTGATCTCCAAGGCTCAAGCCATCCTCCCACCTCAGCTTCCTCAGTAGCTAGGACCACAGGCGTGTGCACCCAGCACATTTTCATACTTTTGTGGAGGTGGGGTTTCGCTGTGTTGCCCAGGCTGCTCTTCAACTCTTGAACTCAAGCAGTCTGCCCACCTTGGGCTCCCAAAGTGCTGGGATTTCAGGCGTGAGTTACCATGCCCGGCCTGCAAATATAATTTCTTAAAGGGCGGAAAACACTGCTCAGATATTTTTAAAAGTGATTTTTTGAAAACTTATGTTTGCCCATGTAGTGCGGAATGTTGCATAGTGAAGATTCAGGTTCCAGTTGATAAAATAAGATTAAGAGATTTCATTGGAACTTAAAATACTAAGAATTTCATATACGAACATAATTTTATATATGCATGTATTTATAGTTTAGAATTTCATAATTTATGCAATCCTGCCGAATTTTTGTATTTTGTGTGTTCTCATACAAACAGTTCCTACAGTTGGAGTGTATAGTTTCTCTATTCTTAACTATAATAGGTTTACTCATTTATATATCTAAACATGTCCTTTGGTTTGAAGAACAAAATCTGTCCATTTTCACAGATTAATCACTTCTTGTTTTTAACGTGAGGTCTATTCTGAATGCAAGGAGCAGCGACTCTAAGAAATAACTGATCCCTGGAAGAGCTCCCCGGGAGCCCAGACCTGTCGCCCTGTGGTGGCAACAGGGCTCCTGCCTCTGGACTGATATGCCCCCTCTTCCCTGCCCTGGCAGGTGCTGCTCCCTTTGTCTGAACCACTGGACTTCTCCCTCTGCACCTTCTCTCTTGCCTTGTACCTTTTTTTTTTTTTTTTTTTTGAGACAGAACCTTGCTTTCTTGCCCAGAATGGAGTGCAGTG